GGGGGGAGGGGGGGGCTGGCAGACGGCGCGCCCCACGGGCCAGCTAGTTGCTGCCACTACTCCGGCCTTAGAGAGGCCGCAGTGCTTAGCTTCCTAGAGGGTGCACACCCAGCCTGAGAGCGGGGCTTTTGTCAGCTCCCCCGCCGGTGCCTAGCGCCTCCCGGCCCCTTCCCCCGGGGAAGGCCCTGGCCCGCTCTGGCTCCCTCTCCTAGCTCTGTGCTCCCCGCGGGCTGAAAGCGGTAACTCCTTTCTGGCTCAACAGAGCAGTGGGTGACAGCTGGTTTCTGAGCACGGATCCCACTCAAGTGCGGTCGCTGCTACGCAGACCCTCCCTCGGCTGGGTTTCCAGAAAGGAGCCCCAGGCAGCGCAAGTTTACCTTTTCAATAAAGTCTCCATTCAAAATGAGGGCAATTGGACACCATGGCTTTAAAGGTAAGACACTCACAGGGTGTCATCCCTGCGTGCTCTGAAGACACCTTTGAAGATGGAAGAAAGGGCTCGATCCTGGGGTCACCGGGAGCAGCAGTGGACAGGGCCCTCAAACTAGTCCTGGAAAGGAGCCTGCTTTGTGGCCAGTCTTCTAGGAAGAAGCTCCTACTGCTAGAAACTGCTTTGGTCCGAGGCCCCGTAAGGCTTCGGCTCCCAGCTCGGGGTGGGGGGTGGCGGGGGCCAGAAGCAGGGGGGACAGGGCTCTTCCCGGTGGTCCCTCCTGGTCGTGTTCACCACACACGGGCACAAACCAGACCGGCAGACAGTCAACCCAAACCTGTCCCCCGACACCTCAGCCAAAGCCGGGAGGCGGAGAGGGCCTGACCTACCTTTCCCCACGGTTCCATCGCCATCGGACAGGATCACCCAGGGCACGGCCTTGGTGCCATCGATCTGGTAGATGACCCCTGTCCGGTCGTCCACAGAGTAGAGTCTCCCGTTGAAAACGATCAGCTCGGAGAGCTCCATGCCCCGTCCCTTCTCAGCCAGGTGGGACTCGAGGACCTCGTGGCCTTTGTCCCACTCCACGGCCACCTTGTCCCCGCTGTCTGACAGGGTCAGATGGCCCTTCTTCAGGTAACTGAACCAGGTGTTTTCCTCTTGGGCTCTTGACTCCGTGTCCAAGTCAGCAATAACTGCAATTCGGTATCGAGTCCCGCCTGGCGTCCTCTGGGGGGCGGACAGGGGGTAGGTGTCATTGTACCGGTCAGCGGGTGCCTGGCCGAGCCTCCAGTTGTGGGCGTTGGGTATGGGGGGCCTGCCTGGGGGCGGGCGGTGGGAGTAGAGCAGCCAGAGGACGGCGGCGCCCACAAAGGACGGCAGGATCACCTTCCAGCGGGGGCGGAAGCGGGGGTCTGCCGCCTTGGTCATGGACGCCAGCACCGGAAGGCCCCCCACACTTATCCGGAGGGAGTGCATAGACTCATTCCATTCCAGGTGGTTGGAGGGCTGGACGGGCATCAGACTGAAGGGCAGGCGGTACCTGGGCACCCAGAGAGAGAGGAGAGAGGTCAGCGGTTTCCCAACCCCGAGACGGTGCACGGCCTGAAGGCTGCCGTACCCGGAGCGGCACTGTCACTGCTGTGCGGCTGTTAGGATTTGGCTTAATTAAACCCGACTCTAGCAATATCTTTGTTTACTTATTCGGAAAGATGAGAAGTCTTTCCAGAGCAAAACTATTCCATCTCCTCTGTCTCGACTGGCGGGATAGAAAGCTTGGCGAGGGCGAGTTCTGTGGAGGCTGGCGCTTTACAAGCTCAGAAAGAGGGAGCAGCAGGGGGTGAGGGAGGGAGTGGGGGTGCCGAGGGGTCTGGGCAGGACAGGCTCCTGAGCTATATTCTCATCAGATGCCACCTCATCCGAGAAGCCCGCTCCAAGGGCTCTGCTCCCGACAGCAGCCCCCATGTCCCCTTCCTTGGCATCTGTCACCACCCCGCCCCCCAACATCATGGCACACAACTATCAGTGTGTTCATGAGTCCTGCACTCCTAGAACAGGGCACAGAGCGGACGTGTGCGCACCTCCTCCTGGGCCAGGCGTCTGTAATATGCAGATACGAGTATAAAACAGACGTAAACCAAACAGAAATACTTGTGTTTCTGGCAAAGTCTGTCCTCTGGCACCCTTCTATTCATGCAAATGATGGAGGGACCGGGGTCTGACGGGCCCTCTTGGCCTGGAGCCGTGGGACCCTGGCCCACTCCCCGGGGCACTACCACAGCCGGGCGGCGGCCAGGAACCGCGGCTCTTCACCACCTGCCCCCTGCTTAGGTCGCCGGCACGGACCACGGCAGCCTGGCTGGCGTGGCCACAGCGACGCCGGACAAGCTGGGGACGATCGGCAGAGAGCCGGCTCTGGGCTGCGGCCCTCGGTCTCCGTCTTCAGTTGTAACTCAGTAAGTCCCGGCGTGAGAAAGTCCCCAGGCCAGACCGCTAGGCCACTTCTGCCTCCTGCCCCAAAACAGCCAACGACGTGACTTCAGGGGCGGATGCTCCTCTTGCCAATGGGTGGCAGCAGGGAAGGGCGGGGGGCCAGGCAGCTTCACGCCACCCCGAGCCCCCCCTCCCGCCGCACCTCAGTCCACACGGCCCACGGCGGGGGGGCCAAGGAGCTCCCATCCACACCACAGGCTGCTGGCTCTGCGGGTAGAAAAACGTGGCCATGGTTCCACGTGGAAGCCAGCCCTTTCCTTCTCTTGCTTTTGGACACATGTGTAGGTTTTGCCCGTAGGGTCGGGTGCAGAAAAGGGGGGCCCTGGGGGCAGGGGTGCTGCGCGGGGGAGGTGGGCTCGGGAAGCCCCCCGCCTCACCTCAGATGCTGGTCCCAGGCCTCCCTCCTGGGCGAGGGCTCCCTGCCCCCCCCCCGCCCCGGGAAGCGGCCCAGCTGTGGCCACAGAGCTGGTGGCTGAGGCCTTCCTGGCTGGGAGACGGGGGTCCCGGCCACTGCCCCTCCTCTGCTGCACCCAAGCCCAGGGCTTCCCAAACCAGGGCTGGGCCCAAGCCACCCAGAGCCCATCTCCTCTGCCACGTGGCCACTGAGCTCTCAACCCCCGCTCACCTCCCGTTCCCAGTTCCGCCTGGATTCTAACGCTTTCTCAACTTACTATTCCCAACTAAGTCTCGCTTGCTCTCCCCAAGCTTCTCCGCCCCCCCAACCCCTCCCTCAGGAATAGTGCTGGTGATGGAGAGCCGCCATATTCTCTGCTGCCCGACGCCAAATCTCCATCGGAACCTCAGGAGAGGCCCTTTTCTGCACGAGGACCACCACCACCTTGAAGAACCCAGGCACGCCCCCTCCCTCCACAGCATCTGCTCCAGCCAGAGACCTGGCAGTTCGGCCACCCACCCCTTCCAACCACACCGTCTGCTGCCACTCCCGTCTGGTGACCCACTTGCCCCGCGGCCGGCGACACCTGCTCTACCCACACGGGTGGATCGCACCGCGTCGCCGCGCGTTCTGGGAGTAAACCCTCACTGCTGCACGGCCCCCACCCAGACCTCCACCTCCCTGAGCCGGCTCCTCTACTGGCCGGCCGGGCACCGTGGCCCTCGTGCACCCTGGCCGGGGCTCGTCTCCCCCCACCAGGATGCTCTCGCCTCTCTGCGTGGCTGCCTCACCTTTCAGGATTTTTCTAAAGAGCCAGCTGCCCAGAAAGACTCGGCTGCCCACCCCGCAGAGGCTGCCCTGGAGTGCCTGCCCATTCTCTACCACGGCATCCTGCCCCTCCTCTCCCAGGCCCTCAGCAACCCACGTAATCGCTTCCGCGCTGCCGTGGCTCCACGGGGCAGGGACCTGCCCACTGTGAACTTACACTCCTGGCGAACGGTGGAAACTCGGCATATATTTGCGGAAGGAATGAAAAATAGGCCCACGTCCTCAACAGTCCCTCAACTCCACCCCAGGCCCCACCTTGGTCATACTGCAGATCCACACCCCCGCATCCGGCCCGGCTGTCACACTGGGCCTCAGGGGAGGTGGACACAATGCCCGCCAGGGGTCACCATCGTGAGGTGTCACCCTACTGGCCCCTAGCCTGCCCGCTCTCCATTCCTGGTTCGTCATCCTGCCCCTGGTCATCTTGTCACATCTCCTGCCCGCTGGCTTCCTGCAGGTGACGAGGGGGCCCAGGGCAGAGCCCACATGGCCACCCCTCCCATGCACCAGGCTGCCTGGCCCTGGTCCAAGGGGTCTGGAGAGAAGGGGCCCACTCCTGCTTCTTGGGGGTAGTTCAGCCATGTCTGCTCTTCTGGTTCCTTCTCCACCATCTACATATGTGTCCAAATCAGCCATCTGAGTGGCCATTTGATCCCCATGTTATACTCTCAGGTACACGGAACGCACCCAGTAAATACCGTGTCTGAGGGATGAGAACCCCTCCGCAGCCTGTGACGCCTCGGTCCCTCCCCGCCCCTCACCATCCTGGAGGAGCCGCCCCTCCGCCCCTCTGCCCCCTCTGCCCCCTCTGCCCCTCCGTCCTGCAGCCCACCTCTTCTCCTGAATCTTCCCTGAGGTGGGCTCGGTCTCCAGGGGCAGAACTGCTACAGTGCGGGCTCCCCACACCTTCCCCGCCCGCACCTCTGCCCCGAACTCCAGGCCCGGCCGCTGGGCCCCCCCGTCTGTCCGCGGGCACCAGAACGGGTTCCCCCAGGAATCTGCTGAGCTGGCTGAGGGCACTCGCAACCCTCAGAAGTCATCCTGGGGAGCAGGCAGCTCGCTTTCTCTCCCCTCACTGGTCTGGTCTGCACCCCAGCTCTGGATGTGGGTCCCACCCCCAAGGCCTCCACCTGGCGCCATCTCTCACCTTGGCCTTCTGGGGATCTGGACCGTCCAGGTCCCACCTGCATCCCGCCACCCATCAGAGGCCTGAGCTCGCTTCTCTGGGCCTCGGCTTCTTCACGTGTAAGCCGGGACAGAACAGGGCCACCTTCCCGGAGCCGTGTGGCCTGCTCCCCCCGACCCTCCCCTTCACTCTGCCAGCACCTTCGCCCACCTGCCCGGAGGGCCTAGCCGTGCAAGTAGGCTTGACCAGAAGAGGCTGGACCATCCGGGAAGTACTGAGCACAGCAGCAAGGTCGAGGGCAGCACAGCCTGCAAGGCCAAACACGAGGACCGTCTCTCCACAGAGAAAGTGTGCCGGGCCCTGCCCTGGACCCTCTCAGACCCATCCTGCACACAAGTGTCAGATCGATTCCCCGAAAAAGCGAAAGTGGACTGAAGTCCTTCACTAGATCCTAAAGCTCTCCCACCAACGGACAAACTCCTCAGCCCTACGCACACATGCACGCGGCGCTGGGTTGTTTACAATTCCATAGTCCTGAGCCAAACCCCTGTGCGTGATGCCTCTGCCTGGGACGCCAACCTCTCTGACCACACAGAACCACCTGGAGGTCCCTAGCTGTGCCGTGATAGTGATGCTTCTGCTGTCCCTTTCCCCTCCTGCCCCCATCGATGGTGAAGGACCCACTCCCCAACCAGTGAGCTTCCCTCCTGTGGATACCGGAAGATATCCAGGCCTAACCCTGAACCTGTGAGTGTCCCCTAATTTGTCAATAAAGACTCTGCAGGGGCGCCTGGGTGGCGCAGTCGGTTGAGCATCCGACTTCAGCCAGGTCACGATCTCGCGGTCCGTGAGTTCGAGCCCCGCGTCAGGCTCTGGGCTGATGGCTCAGAGCCTGGAGCCTGTTTCCGATTCTGTGTCTCCCTCTCTCTCTGCCCCTCCCCCGTTCATGCTCGGTCTCTCTCTTTCCCAAAAATAAATAAACGTTGAAAAAAAAAAT